TTATAATTACTGTTATATGTGATTCTCTAATTTTTTGTGTAAAACAATAATTCGGCCAATCGAGGGTTTTATTTGATTCTACCGGTTTCCGGCTCGATATCTACTTGAGCCAGCCTGATATCAAGCAGTACCAGTATCATATTTTTGCTTGAGCTTATAGATTTCAAATAGGTGATTGGGCATAGCTGACATACATATTTACATCGTTATTAAAAAAAAATATGTAGTATAATATTGCTCTCTAGAAACACTAGGTTAAAGAAAAAAAAATTATTACAACATTTTTTATTGCACATTAAATTCTTTCAAGATATGCAAAAGGGATGAAAAGTTCTAATATTATAGTAATATTATTTTAAATTTCTTGCTATGAGCATCTCATCTAAAATAATTATTTGAATTGTTATTACAGTTTAATGTATATCAAATACTGATATGGCAAAGATTTGATTGGCTTCTAAAAAAGACAGTGAAGTAGTATCATTTGATCAATGGCTCAAATGACTCTTTATTTTTTATTGCTGTTTAAATGGCAATAATAAAACAATACACATATTACATTTGATTAACAACCTGGTGATACTGTCCTATTTGCCGTATATTTTCCACCGTACTAACATAAGCGAATACATTCAGGCGCTTAAGTCTATTTGTATCTCTAATAAAGGTGAATAAATAAAGACACTTTTTTCTTGTAACCGATGCTGGTATTGAAATCTTTAGAATTTTCGAATGCAAATCGTGTTGGAGTTCTCTCCTCTCATTGTGTCCTCCTTGTAGTGCTCTTTGCCGCCTCGGAGGTGGCGATCTATTCATTGGAGAGGAAACGCTCAGCCTGTACATCAGCCGCACATTGCTCGCGATCACGCACACGCCTATAAATGAATTGTAACGAAATATTTCATTCGTGCACCTGACGGAGTTCTCGCGCTCTTTTCGTCTTTTCACTCACAAATGCCGAGCACTTCTTCCTCAATATTTCACACTGTCATCTCGTCGACGACGCCTGACTCATGAGCCATGAGCCATGAGCCATGAGTCTCGTCGAGACTAAAATCATCCTCTGTACCTGATTCTGATTGCATGCTTCTTCATATTTACTTGTACCCATAATTTATTGATCTGCTATCATCCAAAACGTAAGTTCCCTAGATTAACAAAACTTGCATCAATCTAAATCATGATTGCTTAGTTGATAGCGATCCGAAGTCCCTAAAATTAATTAATTGTCTTTAAATTCAAATCTATCATTTATAGTACACTTTCGTTGTATCATGATAATTGTTATCACCATATTGTCTATGACAACAAGTTCTGAAAAACTTTCTTTTCAAGAAAAAATCAAATATATTCAACTTTGTTTAAATTTTAATATGTTAACTGGTGTGATTTATTTTGAAAAATGTCCACATGGTGTTGATATGGAGTATCAAATACGTACTACAACCAAGGCAAATAATTCTAATTTAAATTTTTACTACTATAATTTATAATAGTAATTTATATTTATAATTTATAATAGTAATTTATAAATATGTAGCGATTCTATGATTAATATTATAATTAGAGCAGAGGCGGGTCCGCGGGTAAGATAGTCTATTTCCGATATTTCAAAAACAAATAAATTTGAGAATTTTTAACAATAATATTCGAAAGTAAAAGGAAAAAGATGTATAACCAGCACTGTTGTTTAGTTTACAGGAACTTACTACAACACTTAGGTGTACATTATTTAAATTTTTTATGAGATGTGTTGTTATTTTTAAGTTCGAAACAACTGATTTTTTTACATATGTCACTTCTATAAAAACTTACATTGAATATAAAAGAAACTCAAGTTGACAAAGGCAATTTTGCACGAGATAAGTTAAATAAATAGTTATTCCTACTATGCTGACGTATATTTTTGACAAAATACCCGATCAAGGTTATATACAGTGTACCCATGAAATCTAAATTTTACATTGAAGTAATAATATAACTATTATTTCGTAAAATCTCTTTAAAATTAAAAATCAGATATTGGACCTATTTGCCTTCTGGCACTTTTGCCTCGCCTATGGGATAAGAAGGACCAGGAGACAATTTTTTGAAAAATTACAAAAAAACACAAATTTATACAATGAATTTAATTAGCTTTTAAGAGTTTTATTGAACATTGTCAGATACATGTTTGTTTGGTATGTGTTATTTGTAGTGATATAATTTGTTTAGTTTTTGCAATATAATTGCTCAAAGTCAAATTTGTACCCCGCCCTAACCTTAATATAAGAATAAGCTTTTATGAACTATTTTATAAATGCATCAGTCAGATAAAAATGTGTGATTGAAATTGATAAAACATGAATGACATAAAAATAATAATAAAAGATACGCAAAATTGTCCTTATTCTAATATGTCAATTTGTCCAGATCTGCGAAAGTGAAGAAATATTTTTCGAACGCTGTTTCTATCCTTACGCTAAAATAATATAATAAGCACGTGCGACAAAGGAATATTCCTTTTATCTACAATTTTATATAATTTTTTGCAATTTTCATAATGTCAAAGATAATTATTTTATTATACTGGATTACTTCGACGGAAGTCTTACGTATAGGTTAAGTATAGTTAAGTTGGATAGAAAATAATTTAATTCACGTGTAAACTTATTAAAAGTCGTACATATGCACCAGTCTGTTCAGTCTTCAGGCGTGCAGCGCATTAACGACCTAATGTATAAAAATTAAATTTGCGTTTATTAAAGAAAATTTAGAACTGTTTAGTTTCCGCCGACCGTTTCTGCGCTGTATTATTTATTGTTTGTATTCAAAGTCGGTGCGATATATATACATATATGTATATATGTATGTATAAGAATTATGCAAACATATTGATCCATGTGAAAAATAAATCACCAATGATGAAAACTTTTATCGTATTTGTATATATCACATAAAACATACGCTCATAATATAAAGCATTCCGATCATTTTTCCCCTATTGAATTCGAGTATTTTAATAATTTTGTAATTGCTCTGAATGCAAACAAGAAAATATTTCGGTAATATTTCAATATAATTTTTGACACAAAATGATAGTTTTATTCATGACTGACAGGTCAATGTAAAATATTGATGTTTTTGACATATGCGCATGTTTAATAAAATTTAATCATGATTTGCTCACGTTTTTCTCATTGAAACGAGCATTCGATTTAAAATATCTCTCTTTTTAGCTTTAATCTGGAATTTATATAAATAAAGATTTTTTGGAATAATAAATCGAATAAATTAATAGCTAATAGAAAGTAATATTAACTTTATTGCGCTATTCTGATGATCTTTTTTTAAACTATTTCTAAAAAAACTATATATAAACTAGATTAGAATGTTATTTTTTTATATATTTGATATGTGATAGTATTGAACTTAACTGTCCTGAAAAAAATTAGGAAAAAAAATATTTCACGTTGAAAATTATAAGCTTTTAAGTGTAACCTGGAGCTTTGGTGAAGTTATGATCATTTTTTGTTTATAGTGGTTAGTTTTTACAAATTTTGTTGATTTAACCCTTTCGACTCGGATGCCGCCGCTCCGGCGGCATAGTCATTTTACCGTTGCGCTCGGATGCCGCCGCTCCGGCGGCAAATCGTGTCGGCGACGACTCGTCGCAAACTAAACTTACATTTAATTTTTTTTTATTTTTTAAAAATTAATTTACTATTACATTCATTTATTGATTGATTTATTAATTTTATAAATAAATATATAACAAAATTAATTTATTAGCTCATGATCCCCATAATTCTAATAAAGATCTGTGAAGAAATGATTTTTTAAACAATATAGCATGGTTTTGAGTGCAATTTTTTTTAATTTTCAAAATTTTCTATTTTATTATCATAATAACTATATTTAAAAGCAATATAACCACATTTTGAAAAAATCCCATACAAAAAAAAATTCCGAGTTGAGAGATAAGTATAGCACTATAATATTCCGAGCGCAGCGTACCGACTGGCAGTCCGACTCCCGAGTCGAAAGGGTTAAACTTTGGAACCGTAACCGTGAACAAAATTTCTAGAACCACAGTCAAAAACAATAACATAATTGCTCCTAGTTTTCAAGAATTAAGACTTTTTGTTGAACTGTGAATTTTTAAAAATAGATCGACAAAATAATGTATATGACTAATGTACGTAGTGGTGTTGTCGAGCTAGAACGCGCCGGAACGTCGTTCCGGCAAATCGTTTTTGGGCCGTTTTTAAATTTTTTTTTAAAAAATCGCTACGTACAGAAAATGATTTAATTAATGAATTTTATAAATTATAATTCAACTAATTCAAATTAAGTGTTCCTGTTATTCTAATAAACATACACATATGTGTACTAAATAGGTTTTGTAATATATTTTGTTTCTTTCCTTTTTGAACGGAACCGGAATAATCATGAGAACCGGTTTTTGAACCGGATTATGAACCGGTTTTTTAAATTTAACGAGCCGGCGAAAAAATACTGAATGTACGTGTATACAAAGTCAACAAATAAACAATAAAAAACTAGTAAAATACTTGATAATTTTTTTATTGAAAAATTTTGAGTAAAAAAATAAAAATCTAAAAATAACATGGTTATTTCTTGTGCATTTTACTCACATTTAGTTGAAACTATCTCTCGCACGTTGAGGCTTGTGCGTATAACAAACATTTGAACTGGTTGTGAGTAAAATGTACTAGAAAAATCATGTCATTCTTAGATATTGCGTACTTCATTATGAAAATTATATAGACATATTTTTTGTATCCCAATAATAATTTTGCTAGTTCTTAAATACATTTGTAATATATTGGCAATGATCGATTGAATGGTGTGTCACCAGATGTAGCTATATGTTAGCTAGAAATGTGAGTGTATGTTCTATGGGGTACATTGTACATTGTACCCCACAGAACTGTTGCAACGATCCGCCTGAGTCTCGGTCGTGTAGGTGCAGATAAATAAATTCTCTTTGCTTGCAGATTCGGCGAGTGCACTGTACATAGTCGAGCTCGCGGTGCCTCCCGTCGCGGACCCGCGGGACAACGTTACGTTGTCATGTCGTTTCGACATGGGCAACGACCGACTCTACTCAGTCAAATGGTATAAAGATGAGGAGGAATTCTTCAGGTTAGTTCTAACCATAACCTATAATATATATATATATATATATATATATATATATATACATATATATTTATTTATTTATTGAACAAGTGGTTAAGTTGAATTTCTACCAAAGTTTACGTAGCATCTTCAACTTTGTCTCTCATAAGACAAATCGCATTGACCAGTTAGATATGAAAACTAATCAATATTTAAGTACTTCTGACAATATTTTAATAATTAATTGCCGCCCGATCTTACCCCATTATTCGAACTTTCTAATGCTACACGCTCAGAAAAATAAGATCTAAACAATCACAATTAAGATTTAGCAATTTTCAAAATTGTTACATAGAACTCTATCCAGAGAGAAATAGAATCATAGAATATAATCAAGAACTCTATCATGCAATGTTTTACCAAAATCATCAAAACAAAATTTATTTGGAAATTGACTTTTAACTTCTCCTTGTACGCTTTTAAAGTGCGCAATTAATGGACCGATTCTGCCGCACAACAGACCAAATAGGAGGTAATGTTACGCTCCAACTTGCATGCTACTGAATTATACTAAATTTTGTCAAAATGTTATGTATTTGCTGCGCACTAAGGCGTTTTACACATAAACTGCAACGTCACTTGTATGTTAAGAAGCTGGTTCAGAAAGGCCGTCTTATCTAAGATCGTTTTTTGACATTTGTGCGGTTTCTAGGTTAAGTTTTTTATCTGACCTGAGAAAAACGCCTGACTGCGCAGCACCCAGATGGCTTTTGACAATATTTAGAACGATTTACTATGGATAGTTCTACATAACATAGCCTCCCCATGACATCGGTGTGTTGTACGGCAGAATCGGTCTAGCAGTTTCATGAACTGTTAATATTATCACTTTGTTGATCGTTTAAGATTTAACTTTTGTTCTTATGGCCGAATGTTGCTGACCAAATCTGCTGTTATAAGACCCGCCAAATCTTTCGGTGTAAAAATATAGAGATATCAATAACCGGTCTACAAAGTTTTAATAATAATTTTTACATAAATCTTCTATAGTTAAGCAATGGCGTAATGTATACAGACATGTGCTAGCACCATCTACTTCTACTTCCGGGTTCAATGGTTTGATGCCAAATTTCCATTTGAAGTTATAGATATCAAATATAACCTCAAGTGAAAATTGCCATTTGTTGGCATAGCTATATATAAAAATGCATGCGCCAAAACTATTAGATATACATCTAATATATATTAGATATACATCTAATATATATTAGATATACATCTAATATATATTAGATATACATCTAATATATATCATTAACACAAAAATAAGCGTAGATCATTACGGGGTTGCTCCCTTAAGAATATATCTAGGTTAAGATGAATATATAGTAAATGCAGTTTCAGATGATGCGAAATAACAGAATCGACAAACATGTAGTCATCTTATATAAAAAAATGAATCGCAAAATGTGTTGGTAAGCGCATAACTCAAAAACGCCTGGACCAATTTGACCAATTCTTGTTTTAAAATGTTCGTTGATGTCCAAGGATGGTTCTTACGGCGAGACTAAATCGAATAATTGCCTGGAGAACCCTAAAAACAGCCTTTTTCTTTTTCACATACAAACGTTTTCTAACTAAAACGTGGAATCAATTTGAGCTTTAATTTTTTATAATGTGTAAATAAATAAGGTGAATTAGAATATAAAGGTAAACTGGTGGACAGGTAAATTGGAGGATATGTAAAATGATAGAGAGGAGAACTGGTAGATAGACGAATATGTAGACAAATAAACAGGTTGACAGGTAAATTGATAGGCATGTAGAACGGGATGATAGGTAAATTGGAAAGCAGGTAAATTGGTTGACAGGTAAAATGGTGTATTGATAAACAGGTCGATAGGTAAATTTGTAGACAGGTAAATTAATAGACAGGTGAATTAGTAGACAAGTAAATTGGTGGGAAGGTATTTTATTGGATAGCTGGTAGGCAGGTTAATTGTAAAATGGTAGACTGGACAATTGGTAGATAGACAAATAACAAGACGGATAAACAGGTTGACAGGTAAATTGGTAGACAAGTGAAACGGGTTGATAGGTAAATAGGTTGACAGGTAAATTGGTCAGTCGGTAAAATGGTAGATTGGTTAATAAGTTGATAGTTAAATTCGTAGATAAATTGTTAAATAGGTAAAGTGTTGAGCAGATAGTAGTAACGTTAAACTAAATGTAACAAATACACATCTTTGTTCAACTTTTTAATTTGAACAAAATCACGGCAAAGCGTAAACGGGTACAGCTAGTACTCAATAAAATAAAATTTTACTCTAATTTATACGAAGTACCGCCAACTGAAATTAATATCAATTATAAAATTATCAAATCTTGTAGGTTTTTATATCAAATTAATTTTTGTGCCAAGTGATGATGAATTACTAGCAATGAGTTGTGTATGCAAGTATTTATTGAAATTCGCACGTGACGATGATAATTTAGAACTGTGCCATCATATAGCGTACAATTTGTCTGAAAATTAGTTCTTTGTTGCTTCAATATTCTACATACGTATGCTAGTTGCTTTATTATTTATTTGTATTGTTTATATATTAAATTTGACTGCAGGCAGAATAATATTTTTATAAAGTTTTTCACAAATGAAACCAAATGTTTTGAATATATAGTACCTACTGCCAACATATCCATGTATAGCTAATTGATATGTTTACTCAGAACCATTATACAGTTAACGAATGCGTGATCGATTTTCTTGTCGGTTTTTGTGGTAAATTTCGCGTAACCTACTTAACATAGCTAAGACGCCGAGATTAATGTTCTGCTTTTCGATGCATCAGCGTTTGTCGCACATCCAAATACCGAGCAAAATATTTGCATACAGTAAGTATTTTAGTAAGCAAGCACAAACGCTTATGCATTACCATGCGATACGATAATCTCTTAGCTTGGAATTACACAACTAAGGTTTAATGCGAATATAGATTACTAATCTGAAAAAATATTATTTTTCGTAAAATAAAAAGTTGTGCGCAAGTATCTCATTACTCGCCGTTATTGGTACGTACTAGAGATGGGCTTATCATATCCGATGCCGGATCGGTTAGGATTTGCCTCCGCTTCAGAGAGGAGTTATATCCACTTAACAACTCCACAACTCCGACAACTTTGCAACATAATACTTGACACAAATGTGTTCTCTAGTGTGTTGTTAACATATCTAAGGATTTATTGAGACTTTGGAATTAGTTTACAAATAATTCAAACATTTTTGTTTATATTATTATAATAATTATTATTTTATGCATTTCAATATGCATACAAATCTTAAATTGACAAAAAACTTGAGAATCAAAATTAATTTTGTAATTATTTTTGAAGAGAAAATATAGATTTCTTTGAATATGTTTATTTTTATATGAAAATAATGCAGTGAACCTTATATATGAAATAAGAACAAATCTTTGTGTATAATATTCACATTCTTTTACTATTTTCTTTTCGATAATTAATTATACATCATGTAGTTTGATTAGCATACTATTACTTTTACACAATTATAAAATCATAATTGTGTAAAAGTTATAACATACTAAATATTTTTAGCTGGTTTTATACCATTGAAAGAGCTCATTTACGGAAAAACATTATCGTATACAGAATATAGAATAAAATATAGCATTATTTTGAGACATTATATACCTAGAAAGTCCTATAACTGGCTGTGAGACGAGAAAAAAGACCACTTCTTTCGACCCAAATCTTTGTATTAGTAAAAAATCTCAAGCAAATATCTGCACATGTTACCAGATTTGGTACCAGTTTAAGAAAGTCCTATATGGCAAATCCTGTAAGACAACTCCTCTCGGATTCACTCCGAGGGACGAGTTGTGTCGGAGTGATAACTCCGGAGTGTGCTTTCTTTGCGGCATGTAATTTGTATTTGTAGATATTTGTAACAACATTCATTTACATCAGTAACAAAAGTAAATAGTTCTTGTTAGTTTATTTAATTTTACATTTGTTTTTTTTCTTGTTATCATACAGGGGAGCTAGGGCCTTGTTGTAACAGCATTATTTAAATTATTATATCTTGATATCAAATGATTACTACGAAGATTTTTACGATGTACACATAGATAGATACTGCAACTATTTTTCTATCGAATCAAGCAAAAATATTATGCAGAACGGTTTACATGTGTATTAGAAACCAAAAAATAGTTTAATATTGTTTAACCGTTGTTACAAATAGCCCCTAGCTACGCTACTCTATAAAATTGCAACATATCAAATTTTTGTGTATTAGGTTAAAATTTCAAAGATACCTGCTTCTAATCGAGTACAATTAATTTATTTAATTACCTTTGCTCATGCTTGTATTTTACTTATAATTATTTCTTAATATAGTGAGATAATAAATTCAGTTTTTTGAACAAACAATAAACAAATAAACCATGAATGAGTTTTACAGCCCATTCTGTTTCGTTACTATTGTTCTAGATACTTGCTTAATAAAGATGTTGTGCTTAACATAACGTAAGCAATAACAAGTCGGTATAAAATGAAACTTTATAGAGTTAAATAAATTCCTAGAATATATAGGCAATTCCGGGATGACATGTTTCGAGCTATTCGTAGATAGTTGCCTAAATTGTCTTCGAAGCCATTCATACTTGGGTAGTCTTGAAATGATAAAAAAATGATAAAATTTTTGGGTGAATAATTTTATTACATTTTCTTAAATACGTGATACACATTCTATAAACAAACATCAAATGTTATAGCCTATAACTCTTGAATGAATATATGAGACGGTGGGCACGCTACTATCTAATAATATATTCTCTGGTTGTGATTTAGTACAAAAATCATAGTTAAAAAATTGTGGTCTTTTACATTTTTAAACATTTTGATGTATTTTCTCAAATTTGCAAATATATCTTATAAGATATTTTGTTAATTTTAAGTTAGGCTCAATAGTTTTTATATATAACATTTATAAAAGCTTA